GCTGGCTGACGAGCCCTTCAAATCAGGAATCGGCTTGATGGTAAACTTCAGATCTCAAGTTGGTCATAGATCAAATCAAAAACCAGAGCTTGGAGTTGATTAAGGAGCTCTCGATGATTCTGTCAAGATCGGATCGCTAAAAGTCGTTTGAGAATCACGAGACTTGAAGCTGGATTGGATTCGGCGTGGTCATACTCAACTTAAATCTCACGTGGTCCCAGTTCAAAGTTGCCCCGTGGTGTACATAAGAATATTAAGCAAGCCCACTTGGAAACCATTTAAAAGTTTAGATCTCAAGCTTCAGGTTCTGGGTTATGAGATTTATGGTACTGATAGTTAATTGGATCAAAGATTGTCTTTTATCTTGGAATGATGATTTGGAAGCAAGTCAGGGGCATTTGAATGTGTGTTGTTCTAACTTCAATAAGAAGAATTATTCATTCTTGGCTTCTGATTGGTGATAGTTGACTACATGATCTTTTTCTCTCAACTATCATCCCTCATAACACCCTTGGTTCTTGATCTGGTCCCCGATGACTCATGTCTACGGTTACCTTCATCCAAGACTTTCGCTGTGGTTTCTGATCTACATATATCTCATGTTTCCTTCATTTCTCTCTAATCAACATACAATCACTCCATTCCATCCATCTGCATCTATCTTGCCGAGTACTAAGACGGTTTTCTTAAATTCTTCTTCTTTTCATTTTTGATTATTCATATCAAATTAGACAGGTTTATCTAGATTCTTTCCATATGAGAAATTCCATTCATGATCTCTTTACTAAACTGATGATCAACTTTTTTAAAGATTTCAATCGATTTTTTAATAATTACTTTATACTTCACTTGTGATAAACTGTTAGCCAAATTTCTATAATACCAAAAATCCAAAGAAAAGTAAAGGATCAAATTAGGTATTGGGGTTTAAAGAAGAGATAGATGTGATGAAGTTTAAATGACTTACGTTGTTAAACTTTTCTTATCGTTTGATGTAAGTGAATTCCAATAAGATCTAGGTTGATCGAAATCGATTTCAGTGATCTATAATCCAAAACCAAAATAAATAAATAAGAGATCAATGTTAGTTTCAAGTTTTGATAATATTCCGTAAAAGTGGTCAATTGGATACTTACTTCTGATAAAGATCTAATAGCTCCACCTGTCCAAATCGTATGATTCGATTCATCATAAGCTTTTGGTTGAAGATTCATCTTAGATTCATAACTTGAAATATAATTCATTCTAGAGCCTTGGTTTCCTAACAAAACACTTAATCCATCTCTTTGAAGGTTGACTTATAGAAAGAAAATATTTCAAAATCCCATACCGTTTAGGAAATCAATTCATTTGATAAATTCCTTTTTTTTTTTTTTGGCAATCAAGATGAATGTTTGTAATGCTTACCAACTGGATTCAATGGACAATTCACAGGGATTTGTTGAAAATTAACTCCAAGTCTATGACGCTAAAGAAAAAAAACAATTCAAACCATTTCATAAGTTTCAAAGAAGATTATAAACGTTTTCTTTTGGCGGGGGATGGAGGAGTAAATCTAGTCTAGATTCTTTCTTACTTGTGCATCTGGATATGAAAACAATCTGGCTTGTAAAACTGGATCTGTACTGGGTTCCCATCCGTCTACCAAATTAGATGGTGAGAAAGCTATTTGTTCAATCTGTTTTTTTGTTTTGCGTAAGGTTTTAAGGGTTTAGTCAATATTAAAGATGATTTGATTAGAAATCGTTGACTTACTTCTGCAAAGAAATTTTGTGGGTTCTGTAAAGTTTTGCAAAAAAAATGACGCGTCAGTTAAACTCTGCTATCAAGACCAAACTTTATTAAACTCGAATATCTGGGTACGGTTTTGATAATGAGAGATAACCAAGTTTTGTCAAAATGGAATATGAAGATATATTGACCTGATTGAGTTCGAATTTTCCAATCTCATGTTTTTCAACTAAATCAAATGGCCAATCCTCTGTAAGAAAAACAAACCAAGACTAAACCTTCATAAGTCTACTTTCTTCATAAATGATATCCCAGTCTATCTTCTGGAAATTATCAAATTAGTAGAAAAGAAACATTACTTAACTTGTTAAGTCTAGAATATTATACTTGAATTTTTCAGCTTGATCAGGTGTTAAGATTTGTGCATACATAGTCCAAGAAGGAAATTTCTTTGATTCAATCCTATTAAATAAGTCCTATAATACAAACCAAACCAAAAAACCATTCCTCAATCTATTTTGCTTCTGCGTGAAAAAAAAAATCTCGAAGCAGAAAAATGATCTTGTTTTGTTCTTACCTCGGTGGCGTAATCGGGATTTTCACCTAAGATCTTCATTGACTCAGATGCAGTAAAGTTATGAATCCCTTGATTTGTCTCAGCAAATAGTTTGACATAGACCCATGAACCTTATATATGGGAAAGCGAGTTTTAGTTTTTTAAAAAAAATAGGTCAATCATCCAGGGTCATGTTAAAAAAAGCAACACATAGAATCTAGAATAGTCAGAGAAGTGTTCTTACCATCTTTCTGAACCCATCGATAGGAGTGCCCAGTGAAACCATGCATATGTACAAATCCTAAACAAATATCATCCGTGTGTTAGTTACAGTCAAATGCCCTCTGTTGACCAGAAGGCTCCTCGTTAGAAAAAAAAGGTGGAAGTCAATACCTTGAGGCGTTCCAGCATCTGAAAACAATCTCATGAATTGGTGTAAGGCTTCAGGATTATGAACAAAATAATCCCTGTGCGACACGAATCAGTCATCAATAAAAGTGATGAAATAACAACAGAACATCAATATGCCATACTTTTGAAGAAATTCAAAAATACTAACCAAACTATGTTAGGATCTTTCAGATGAGTACGTGGGTTCCTTTTCTGAGTATGAATAAAGTTTGGAAATTTCGCTGGATCGCGTACTATAGAAAATGTTCAAGATTTCATTGATTCTTCAGATAACTATCTCTTATAATCAACGCGATGATCAAGAGATGTCTTCAGGAAGGGGATCTAAAGAATACTAACAGAAAAAGACTGGAGTATTATTCACTTTTTTTTGTTTGAAAAAGGTACATTAGTTTCGAATACATCGTTCATGAAGAATTCGGTAGTCAGGACTTACTGACAAGATCCCATATTCCTTTTTGTGTACGGAATCTGAAGGTCATGATCAAAGGTATGAACATCAATAATTTCGAGAACCAGATTTTGTTTTGCAGCACTGATACTTACTTGATTGCGAAACCTCTGAATGTCAAAAAGAAACCTTACGTCAGCTCATGAAGACAACACTTTTAGAGATATGAGAACATCCTCACCTCGGATCTCTTGCCTGATCCCCAGATCCTTGTTCACCACCAACAGTAGAGAATCGAATTGAAATTGGAGTCTTTTTGCCAACTTTGAATTCAATTCGATCACATCATTCGAGAAACAGGCCCAAAATTGATCACCCTTCAAAAGTTTTTTTTCTTTTGATTTGAAACAATCTGACATACCTTCAGAGAAAACGTCCATCATAGTATGATTTTTGGCAAAGTCAGTAGTGACACTACGCCAAATTGAAAATTTACCGCTGAGTTTAGAAAATTGAGAAGACATAGAAAATTATGGAAAATCTGGGAGGGGTCAGAAAAATATGAAAAAATATTGGTTGGGCCCTTTGGTGCATTCCAATCATCTGGCATATTTTTTCATATTTTTACAACCACAATGGCAAATAATGTCAGAAACCCAATTTTGGTCCTTAACTGGCAGGTAGAGAGACAGTGACCTTGCAACACCAACGAAATCATCAATTTTTCTCCAACACATGTAATGTCTTGACATTCTGAATTCCACATTCTGGATCTACAGTTTGTGTGCACAAAAAAGCTGTGTGTCTCCAATAATGGGTGAGATATATCAAGAGACGTACACAGCAGAAACCATATATAAGCATAGAAGTCATAACTACAATGGCTTCAGCACCTTAATAAACCTTGTAGAGACATCATGCGGCTTCCATAAATTGCAAGTGTTCAGATGATTGAACAAAAATACTCATATTTTTGTGCTTGGAGGTTTTTGCCCAAATATTGCTAGTTTTGGACCAAATTTGAGTTTCTGACATAATATCCCCTGTGAGCATTTTGGTTTGGGGAGACTTCAAAAATCATGGCAAAAATATGCAAAAATATGCAAAATGAGGGGACAGCACCCATGAATTGAATCATTATTTTTTCAAATTTTTCTGACCTCCCCTGTATTGGTGATATTTTTCTACAGTTTCAATTTTCTGAACTCAGCGGTAAATTAGTGATCTGGCGTAGTGTGACTGTAAAGACTCCATGCGCTCCAGCTAAATTTCAAAAACAGTTGATCATCAGTTCAAATTCATATTTCTTTTATTAACTCTTTTTTCTTAGACTTCTCTTTCTTGTAGATGGGTTGTTCAGATTGAATAAAAAAGATTTTACCTCCTTTTGCGTGTACAACTCTTTCGGAAATCCTTTCACGTGCGAAATGTGCTAAATTTTCTATAAGATGATGATCTTGTAAAAGAAGTGGACCTAGAGAAAACCATTAACGAAAAAAAAACAATCAGATCCTGAATCGATTTATTCAGAAAACCAAAGTGTGTTACAAAAAAAACTTACCATTTGAACCTATTCTTTGAACAGAAACCGGATCAGAATAAGCTTGACCATTTCCTAAAGTATAAAAAAGTTCATCATGTTTCGAATTTTTTGAAGCTTGAAGTTGAATTTCAATTGATTTTTGAAAATCTTGTTGTAAAAGATCAGTTTGATTCTTTATAAGTCCTATAGCAGGTTGATTATTAGAATTATTATAATTATGTAAAGAAGATAAAGAAGGCCATGCATTTGATTGAGTAAAATGTTTGAAAAAAATCAAACTTAAAACTAGTAAAGATTTATCACAATGTTTCATTTTTTGATTTATACTTTTGTTGTCATCAAATTGGTGAGAGGTATCTTTGTGGATGATGTATAATGCTGAGGTTTATATTGTTCAAGTTATTTGATTTCTGCTGGTTGACCGAATGAAGATCTTATGGCAAGGAGATATTGAATATCAGACACGAAAGGGCCTAACATTCCTTGGTCACTTCGGTCACTTCGGTCACTTCTTTTCACCTGGCTTCTGGTCGTCATTCTCCACCTAGAGCGAGGCTCAGATATCACGATACCCATGAAAGGAAGGTGAGGAGAGGAGGTGGAGAAGGGGTGATACGTTATTCACTAGTGATTTACGGGCAGTACTAAATTATGACCTGACCCATCTGATTTACAAACCGATTTGAATCGTTGATCTCATGAACACGTCTTCATCTTGTAAGTCATATATACTAGCAGTTACGCTTATATGACGCGACTCGAGAGACTCCAGTCAAGCCTTGAGAAGATCAGATTGATGAAATAAAACCTATCTGAGTGAATTTTCAAGTTGCCTGATAAAACATTAATCTCACTCTTGATTGATAAAGAGAAGATTAAATAAGTTATATCATTTCTTTACATTCTCAAGTGACTCAAATCGAAGATCGAAGCAAGGTGATGATAGATATCCAAATTAGTCACATGGCATTTTTCATCACTCGCGAAAACCTCTCATATTTCAGCCTCAGTGAGTCAGAGCAGAACACCATCCTTTTCTTGCACGATAAGTCCAGGGGGTGCCACACTCGTGTAAACTTAATCCAAGGAGAGCATATTTATACATCAGGGAGCACTCTAATGGTGATCTGGAAGCCGTATTTGGTTTCCTCATCTTGACTCTCCTTCGGAAAGATGCGTCGAAGGGCAGATTAAACGAAGCCAGAAGTGGGCGAATATTTAAAGCCTAAAAAGCGTCTGTTGAGATGGCTGAGGTAATGGGCCAGAGCCTGAGGGAACAAATATGGGTTGTCTGCTTCAAGCGTATGTACCATCAGGGAGCCAGATGATGAATCTCCACTTTTCAAGAATATGGCGACGTGGTATCAAAAAAAACGAATGGCCACTGGGGTAAATCAAATAGCGGTATATAAACAGAGCCAGAGCCCAAGTGGGTTGGGCCTTGGCTGGTATCTGATTTCGAGATACGTATGTAGCGGATGAAAAGGTCATGGACTCCTAATGAGATTCCAGGTCTTACTGGTAATTATTTGAAAATAACTTCTAAGGTGCTATTCACAAGCAAGCATCGATTCGGTAAAATACAAAGCCCTGGTTGAGGCTCCTCAGCGAGACTCTTGTCAATCTGATTATTTGACCGAGTCACAAAAGCCCCTGAGCAGGTGGACACAAAGAAGCGACGGACGCTTACTAAGCAGGAAACATTGCCGCTAAGCTTCAAATGTGGTGTTCTTGAACTCTGACTTGAATGTCGCCCCAACCTGAGCCAACCTCATCACTGGGATTGGTGCGGATAAAGCTTCATGAAGCGCATGCAATGTGATACCCTGAGAAAGAGGCGTGCCTCACTTCGAGGCGACATACTACGCTCGTTATTAACTTGGATGACACTGAAAGCTCATCTTATTACGCACGAAGCGCGACGCAATCAAACTGGTTACTGCAAAAAATGGCGATCCTTTGCCTCATTTACTGACTCGTGCAAAACTCTGAAATGGAATGTCTGAGCATGTTCCTCCCTGCCCAGTTACCCAAAGACATAGAATTGTCTACTCTATCGACGTGGCGCGGTATGGTACGGATTAGAAACAGTCGAACTGGGTAAACGATCATCGCGTCCTCCTCCGCCACCTTCTTGTTGGCGATTTTCGAGTCCGAACTCGACTTTGGTATTTGTAACCCGTCTCTCCAATTCACCTAGCTTTGAGCCAAGATCTTGAGTGATCTCTCCGACCCAGTTGAGTGAAGTCAAATGAGCGTTCAAGATTCCAGCAACCTGTGCAATCGGGTCATCTTCGGCTGGTGTAGCAGCAAGTGCTCCACTCTCTTCCGCAGTCGAGATCGAACGAGGTCCGGAGAGGGTATTGAGTTCTGAAATCATGGCACCCAATGATGTAGCCATATCATTGAGTTGGCCATGGACGTCTTCGGCTAATTTGTAAGCCTGTTCTCGTTCTTGAGCAGCCGTACGGGCTCGTGGACCAGGAAGAGCAGCAAGATCTTGGGTTGGGGGCAAATGAGTCGAAAGTTGACGTTCGTATTCATCCAAGGCAGCACTCAGTTCAGCTTGTTGAGTCTCGACATAATCCAAGGTTTGGTCAATTGAAGTTTGAACGGGCTCAATCCTTTGTAATTCAGAATACAAGTTTGAAATCTACAGAAAAAGTCGCGTGTTTGAAAAGTTGAAGAGTCAGTGAAACTCGGTCTTGAAGATCAATAGGCAATATGTCAAATAGTATGAATCGCACGTACCTGATCCCCGTTTTGGATGAGTACCTGATCCCAGGCGGCAATCTCATCGCCCATATGCTTAAAATCCGCTGTCCGCTCATTCAATTCGGCCGTCCAGCGACTGACAAGATCCTCCATCGTCTTCCCACGTAAAAGAGAAGGGGCCGAAAGCCCAACTGACGCCTTGGTAGGAGTCTGAGCGGTGGTAGTTGAAGTTTTGAGGTTTGATGCTGGAGTGGAAGATGATTCTGCCGAGGATGGGTCCTTAGATGCCAATGGTGACGGCTTAGCGGGTAATGTCGAGGCTGTCTTTGCTCCAAAAAGACCGCCAGCTGGTGGGGCACTCAAGGGAGCCTTCGGATCATTTGATTGAGGAGTACCACCTGAACCTGTTGTGGTAGTCGATTGCGGCGGTTGCTGAGATGCTTGGCCTCCAAACAGATTGGTAGAGCTTGAAGATGCTGTGACTGGTGTACCAAAGAGCGAGCTAGACGTAGTAGGTGCTGAAGGCGTCGCCGACTTTGCACCTAACAGGCTGCCGGTTTGCGCAGATGTTCCAGCCGTGGCACCGAAAAGAGAAGGGGTGTTGGTGCTTGGTGCGGTGGTTGTTGAACTCTGCTGATTTTGAGTGACATTGGTCGGTGGGAATGCAAAGGTAGGAGGGGTAGAAGACGTGGGAGCAGTATTTGATGGAGTGCCGAAAAGATTAGTAGAAGATGGTGCTGCTCCCAGCAAATTGTTAGGTTTTGTAGGACTAGTCTGAGGCGTAGTGGAACCTATCAAGGTGATCGAGAACAATGGGAATTGAATCAAAGGAAGAAAAGTCACAAGTGGAAGAACAGGGATGGCAACATACCAGCGGTAGCATTATTAGTCGATGCTCCGAAGAGGTTAGAGGTGGTAGAAGAGCCAAATAAAGACTTATTCTGGGTCGTATTCGAGTTTCCAAATAGACCAGATGCTAAAAATTGTATATCGCGTTATTGAAGTGGTCGAGATAGAACGACAATCGTAAGTAACTCAACTGGTGCCCGACGAAAATATGCTCTTGGCTTGATCGCCACCAAACGGATTGGCTGCTCAGAGAATGAATAAATCAGTTTTCTAAATTTGAAAGCAAAAGAAAGATAGAGACATACCCATGTTGAGAGCTGAGTGAAGGTGTGGTTGATGATAAAGTTTGATATCGATGTTCTATTGAAAATGATATTTGAGTCGAAGGATAAATGCTAACGCGAGATAGAACTCGACATGCGCGTTCAATGAGTTTATCTCTCGCGGTATTAGCATATTCTCATTTACAATATGCATACAACCTCATACAACCCTTCAAGTTCACCTCCTTTCCTTTCAAGCCTTTTGAAAAATTGGAATTTGAAGCAGGATCAAACACAGAAGACAGGGTTGTCCGTCTCATGGCAAATACTGACAGGACACCAGCTTGTTGTTTCCTGGCTATATATCTCAAACAATCCAAAGGTTGACCTGACTTCACACACAATCTTCAAGAGGAACAAGCGCTGAGGAGTTAGAGCAGCCACTATCTTGAGGGTGTTTTATAGTAAATTTGGTGGTCCTGATTGCAAAATTTGATCATGTGTGTTATAGCTTTGTTAACCACATGAAATCCACTAGGGGGTTTCAAATTTGGTTTTTTTGTGTAATTTTTATAATTTTGGACATGTTGTTCATCAAAAAACTCTTTGCAAAACCAACATATTTTGAATTTGGGACTAAAAAGGTGTCCCGCTTGAAAAAAATTATGTATATTTTACAACAACAGGCAAGTTGTTGTAGCACAGATGTATGTACATAAATATGTAACAATTTCTAACTTGAAACCCCCTACCATGGGATGATGTAAGACAGGATTTAACTATGGTAATCTGTTCTTGAAACACTTTGCACACTAGCGGGGTTCAAGTCAAAATAATTTGGACCTAAAATAAGGGGTTTCAAGTTACAATTTTGTATACGCTTTTTTAAAAAATCGGTCAAGTTTTATACGACAGCGTAAAAGTTTAAACTTGACCGTTTGTAAAAAGCAAGCATGTTGGATGATTATCGTCGTAAAAAGAATCAAAGCGGTGAACCTATCGTTCCAAGCTTTGGCAACATTCTCTTCAAAGACAATGACAAGATGGCCTTCTCGACCAATCTCATGTTTGATGAAGTGGGCAATACCATCATTGAAAAGGTCAAAAGGTTGACCGGATCCTTTTCTTAAGCGTAAATTTACCCTAATTTTAAAACGGGAGACTAAAAAGGTTGTCCGTTTTAAAATTATTTTACGTAAAATTTATAACATTAGGGGGGCTCAAGTCAAAATTTTTTACTACTTTCATCGTAAAAAACTTTTCCCAAATTCATAAAATTTACGCAAAATTTTATGAAATTGGGAAATGTTATACAACATCCCAAATTTTTTTAAGCAGCAAATTTGCGTAAATTTGCTGCTCAGAAGGAGATCCGAAAGAAAAAAAAATTGGTCCTTTTTACGAATTGGGAGAAGTTTTTACGGTACCGTACCGTAAAAAACTTTCCCCATTTTTTACGAAAAGGTCGCAAAGATTTTGACTTGAGCCCCCTTATTGTCCAAGCTTTTAAAACGTAAAGATACGCAAAAACTCAAACTTGAAACCCCTTAATAGGGGGTCTCAAGCACTGCGTCCACCACATACGTTCTCGGCGTCGAGAAGGGCAGATATTCCCAGTTTGTTCCCAGTTTGTTCCAAATTTACTTCGAGTTAGTTTCATTACTGAGTATTCCACTCAGCAAAGACTGAGAGATGCTACGAGTGAGTGGTCAGAATTTCCTGAGCCTCATGATATTGCTCAGACATTCAATTCCCCTGCCTCAGGCTATTCCTTAGACATACAGACCTGTGAAGGGCACAGTAGAAAACCATAACGGTGGCATGTCAGAAAAACTCAAGACTTGGGCTGAAGCTTGGAAGGACAGTGATACAGATGCGACGTACACCTGTAATCCCTCTTCCGCCATCACGTGTTGTTTTCTTGGCTCATCACATCTTTGATAACGTCCAGCTCTCAGATTTTCTATGTAAGCAAGCTACTGGCTGGACCATTTTGGCATCCCATGGCGTCCACCGCCAATGGTGTCTAAATTGATATCTTCTAATGTCTGATCCATCCAGTCCTCCTCCTCCCACTACACAGTCTTACACTGTCTTTACATGAAAGCTTGTCCAAAAAGCTTTCAAGAGTTAAAGTCTTGTCTGTAAATTTAAAATGCAATCAAGCCAGTCTCAAGTAAGCCAGGTCAAACCTGACCTGGCTAAAGACCCTGACCGTCTCTCTCCCTGTCCCATATTGAGATGAACAGGGAAATTTCCCGTTGATTCTCATCTTTGGTTTGAGGTTTCTGACGAAGAGGTTTTTGACCACCTATCAACTCTTTGCGACGTCATCGGTTTCCGTCTTCTTACCTCGCCAACTCTTTCCCTTCGATTCCACTCTTATTCTTTCGTTGGATGATGCTACAACTGGCGGTCGGATTGCTGAGCTTTGTGCTGCTGGAGTTTTCCTTTTTGTATGAATTTTAACATTCAGGACACTTTACTGACATCTTTTGAATGACTTTGATCTAGGTGTTTGCCTAATATTGTCACTATTCTATCCTCAGTTCAACCCGATTGATCCTCCCTTTCATCTAATCAAGTTTCACACAAAATAAGATCCTGGAAACATCAAATAAAGACCCTGTTTGACTGATTCGCGATCAGGCGCTCAAAAGCCTTACATCATCATCTTAACATGCGTCTCTCACGACTGTGGCTATCATTTCCCCTCAGAATATTACCAATCCCCTTGTCAGACGTCGATAACATCCGATACCGACAGGCGGCGGCTGGCGTTTACGGAACAAGGTCACAAAACAGCAGAGTTCTGATGTCACCAGTTTCAAATTTTTACAGGTTTATCAATGAAATCGGCCTTTCTCCCTTTGCTTCTCTCTACCAAGCTTATCAACTCACATCAATATCTTCTGTTAAATCCTTTCATAGACTTCTCAAACTCTTTCCCCCACCTCTCCTTGAGGATTCTGGTAAATTTATGGGTTGTACACCTCCTCCGCAAAGCCTCACCAAGACCAACAAGCCAACACCGAGAAAAAGACGGCCATTGGTTTCACACAAGTCTTTCAAGCTTCGAAAAATGGTGTCTCAGGTAATACACAAGTCGAGCTCATCATATTCATACGTGTTTCTATCAACGATTGTGTGATCAAAATATGTTGTTACTCCAGAATTAAAGTATCTGACAAAAAATCTCCAAACAAAGTCTACTATGCCATCCGATAATGCTACTCCTCCCAAGTTCCAGTTTCATGATCCACAATGGCCTCTTCAAACAATCTACCTTTGCCCTTCCGAGAATCATTCAAAGAAACATTTGCAAAACTTGTTGAATGAGATCGTTGCGGATGGAATCGACATAGACGGTCCTTTAAATGCAAATAATCAATCCGGATCAAACTCAATGAAAGCCATCGCATTCGACATGGAATGGATGGTGTCACGATTGGAGTAGAAAGTGCGCTCGAACCACATCACTTATTCAACTTGCTGGTTGAACCAAGGTGCTCATCATTGAACTCGTTCAACTGGATGGACAAAAGTGGAAAGATACCACCTTTCCTCAGTGTTTAGAAGATTTAATCACGAGTACAGAGATCATCAAGATGGGAGTCGGCATAATTAGTGATGAACAAAAGATCGACCAAGATATATGGATTGATAGTAAAGAACAGATTTTCAAACTTGAAAATTATCTCGAACTCATTCTTTACAAAAATTGGATGACCAATACTTGAAACTTCATTTACCAAAGACCAAAAAATTGACTATCTCTAATTGGGAGACCACTCAGCTCACGAGTTCACAAGCCCATTGTAAGTCAAGTTAAACTCAGATTGCACAACTTTAGCTGTCTAAATGACTTGCCTTCTGACTATCGATGTTCTTGTTATGGTTTGTCCAATCACTAGACGCTGCAGCAGATGTGGTGACGGTTATAAGGATTTACAAGCGGTTGATGTCCTCTGGGCCTGCTAATCTGAATGATGTGAAACCGCTTCTGAAAGCCACCGAGCCACCGCCAAGATCAGATCTCCCTTTTGCAGATCTTCCCAAAAAACCCAAGTCCAAGAAGAAGACACAGGCACCTAAGGGCCCCTCGGTCAATTCAACCGCTTCAAGTACGCCTGGTGGTATATTACGCAGCAGTAATGGATGGGTTCTACGAAGAGCTCCTTTTACGCTTGGATTCCGAAGATGATCAATTCTGTTCAGTGAATGGCTACACTTCATGCTTGATGATCCAAGCAATCATACTCCAGGTCCACCAAACAGTCCCTGTATAAATCGTATAAGTTTATTTTTGATCAAATAATATCATATTCTTGCAAGATTCCTCAAATCTTACTCTTTTTGTTTCTTCATCTAGTTTTTAGGTAGATCATCTCTTAGCAATTCTTGTTTTATACTCATTTGATTCTCTTCATGGTATGGATTGACTAAGCCTTTTATCATACCGTCTTGTATATTATGTACCGTTGTTCTTATGTGATATAAAATCCAGCAATCTTATTGGAAGGTATATCCTTCAAGCAAAAGCTTTAGATCTAGCCATCCTTGTTGATGGGCAATTAAACACAGCATACCTGTTCGAGTTCTGCTGAAGTTTATGTATCACTCTTTTGAATTCAAAGGGTGTGTATCACTTGGATACCATGTGCAATGCAAAAGAAAACAGATGCAGTAAGGGCTCAAGTCACGGAGCTCCACGGCATTTAGCTTCAAGGAGTTGATATCATTGTAAAATGTGATGGTAGGGTTAGGTTATCTGACAGTATAAGGTGGTAAAGGTGAAGTAAGAGTTGATCGAGAAGGTGTGAGGCGAGCGCGAGATCTTTGTGTTGTGATGGGTGGATTTGTGCGAAAAGTTTGTTTAGGGATAGGTATTGAAGTGAGAGTCTGAGTACGTTTTTGAATTGGAGACGGTGATGATTTGTCAGAGTTTGAATCTTGATGAGGTTCTAACTTAACTATGAGGTTCATCATTCAATACTTTGAGAAGTTAAACAAGCACTTGTGAAACGATTTGGAGGTGGTGATAGACCAGAACGATTCATGGTTGGAGTGCTTGAATTGGGCTGGGTTATCAGAGATGGACGTGATCTTGGAATTGCTTGATTGAATGGTTTTAAATTCAAGATAGATGGGCATTAAAGGAAGAGGGGCCCGCGGCCAATCTTCGCGTCTGGTTTTCTGTGGACATAAGTGAGTACAACAAGAGATGAATGGAACAAAAAACTAGGATACAAGGGAAAAGAGAGACAACATCGCACTACCTCGATATCTAGTAAGATTAGAATATCCGTTGACATCATGCCCAGAGAGAGGACCCTGGAATACACCCATGGAGGGTACTTACGAAAAAACCGACCTTTTGTTGACGTAGTTTTTCGATACTAAACTGCACTTTATCAATACCTACAGGAGCACAAAAGATGCACCAGAATGAAGGCTTTCAAATGCACTAGCTCGCAGCCTGGTAGCACCAATTTTACCTAAGATATATCAATGTAACGCCCAAAAAAGGGCCAAAAATCGAGGGTCGGTTTTTGGCCTTGGAGGTCGAAAAAAAAATTGCGCCATCGCGATTTACGCCGCCGTGAGACATGATGCCGGGCTCTGTCTGGTCTCATCTGATAGCCCTACTCCATGCGCATCTTTTGAAGTGCTCTGCAGCTTCATAGAGGCACTGATGCGTAGTGTAGAGGCAAAAAACTGAAAATCATGCTCCGTCAGTACCCTCCATGGGTGTATTCCAGGGTCCTCCAGAGAGTCCAATGTATGAATTGATACAGTGAAGCTCTTTAAAACTGATAACGGGCTTGCACTACCTTTCTTTCACATGTCTAACGCTTGATCTCGAGGTTCGCACTCCAGCCAAGAGCCTCAGAAAAGGGTGGCAGTACACTCAGTACACTTCTGGGTCAGGTCTGAGTCATTATGGCTCCGCGGTGTAAGTTCCTTCGTGATCAAGATTCAATTTGTTTTATGGAACTGATGATGTTGATAGTTGTTCTTATCTGAGCGCGAGTGCGGTAGATGCAAGAGGTTCAAGTTCATGTGCATGTGCGCGGGTATGTACAAAGTGCAATGCCTGTGCGCTGAGGTGATTGCTCATCTCCTGAGCTTTGGTGCGATACCTCAGGCTGTTGACTGAGGAGAAGCTCAGTAATGTAATAAAACATGTAGAGCAGGGAAGTTCAGGCTTTTGACTGAGAAGAAGGCCTGTGAAGAAACAAAACAATCAAAAAGCGTTAAGTGCAAAGAAAGTCGGGACAATCCAACGATCTAGACGTCGAGAACGTCTGTGTTGGATGCAGTGAAGTCAATTTATTTAAAACAAAAAACCGTAAAAAAGATTGCCGTCGGAGCATAAACTTAAGTAAATTTTACGAAAACGGGATGAACATAAAGGTGTCCTGTTTTCGTAAAACACATACTTATGACTACAGCGGAAAACCCGAACATAACCCGGAGGTTTTAACCCTCTAAATCTGGTGATAAATCAGACCCATAAACCACTCAAGCCCCTTTTCTCAATCGCAACCAACTCAATCTATTTGATCGATCAATACCTACACTGTCTACCTCCTTTTACGTTTCAACCATTGCGATCATTAACATCCCAGTTGCTTTGCTTGACCCTGGTTGTTTGACTCCGTTCTACGATTCAGGGTCTCGT